TCTGCAAATTCCTTTTTGCCTACACCCCTGAACAGGAGACTCTCAGAGCTCCGTCCTTATTCTTACCCTGTGTCCCCTGGATGTGTGACCCTTGAGCAATCCCGTCTGCTTTGAAAACTCCGTACTTACTGATTCCCCCCGAGCCTGGTTCTAGCCCTATTTCCAGACCCTCCCTTCCACTGCGTCTCTAGATCTACCTGCATCCCTGCACAGGCACCTCACATGTGACTTATTCCAAACCACGGGTCCCTTCGTGTGACTGGAGTGATTGCCTTTCAGGCATCAGCCTGGAGGGGAAGATGTTTTGGAGGCCTTCCAGGTTCTGCAGCACAAAACTCTAGGGGTAGCTCCACGTCACAATGTGTGGGTCCATTGTTACAAAATGTTTTTGATAAACATTTAGCTATGAACAAGTAAATTAGAAAACCTTTTTCTCCTATGGAAAACAATGTGGTTTTAAGAAGCCTAGGATGAGACCTACATATATGTACACCTATGCCTTGGATTTTCAAGTAGGTGTTTCTATCAAAAGGAACTCTGCAGGGGTGATGTTGGAAATGGCTTTGTCACCGTGTTGGAGGGCCCCTCCAGCTTCCCTTACCCTTCGTCCATAGAACTTCTCACAGTGTGGATGAAACACAGCCCATGGGGAACCCGCGAGTTCCAGTAACCCAGTATATCAAGCCATAGCATGACGCTTTGAAAGGGAAACGAGGAACAAAATTTAGAATTAATCTGTCTTCACTCCCCTTCTCTACTCCTAGCATCCAGCTGCTCTGCTATCTTTGGTTTAAGCAGTGCTATTTTTGCCAAGATTAAGCATCTTTTTATTTCCTTTAGGTCTGCTCTGTGCCTCGCTTGGGAGTGTTCATTTAGGTTTTACTCCCTTCCTTCCTGATCCATGAATTTTTGTTCTCAAATAGAACCTCTCAACTAATACAGTATCTTTTAATTCCCAGTATTGTTTGTTCCATGCTTATAGGATGTTCTTTGCCATCTAATTTTAGATCCAACATAATGCCCTCCAAGCAGCCTCTCCTTTAGAGGGATGAAAGCCATGGTTAAGATGTCACTTCCCATAAATCAGGTTTGGTGAGGATGAAGGCAGCTGTGGGGGAGGGGGGCAGGAACCCACAAAGTCTAACCCTTTCAAAGTTGACTTAATCCTCCCTCTCACCCCTCCCTCTTCATGCTACACTTTGGAGGGTGGATAGACCTCTTTAACAAGAAAGAATGAGCTTTTGCATTGTTTGCCTTTGTCACAGCAACAAAAGCCCTGGAAAATTCCAATTAATTAGCAAGCCTTGGGCTAATGAAAGAATAAAACTGAAAGAGAAACGCTCTAAGCTTTTGGAGAGGCATACGCATGTGAAGACAATGCTGATTTCAAATATTTGGGGCTGTTTGTATAATTTTCCCAGGGTTCGCCTTCCTGAGGCTCAAAGAGATAAGACCAGAGAGAGAGGAGAGCAAGGATTTGTCGGAGTCAGGATGTAATAACACTGTTGGCTTGTCAGGACTGTAAATGACCCACTGTCGTTTGAAGAAGGCAGTTAAATGTGGACTCACACAATCAGGGAAATTAAAACCAGGATATAGACCCCTTGCACATTTTGTGTTTAGAGGAAAACAGGGCAATCGGATCGGCATACAGTAGATTATGAAATACGATTGAAGTTAATTATTAGGAAGGACCAGGAAATCACTGTACCACTGTGTCCTTGAATGAAGACTTGCAGCCAGTGTGGCTGCTAGAAACATATGGTGATGAAAACACTGCAGTCGCTCATTTGTAGCTTTTTATTAGATGATGATGATGATCATAGTAACACAAAAATAAGAATTGCGCCGTGATAAAACCACAACAGAGCTGCTCCCAACAACTAACCTGTACTAAGCATTTACTGTACACTCTGCACTATTCTAAGCCCATTTACTCCTCTCAACAGTCCCATTAGATACTGGATACGATGTGACTCATGTCTTCATTACCTCCGTTTTACAGTTCAGAATATTGAGGTTAAGACAGGAAGTGGCTGGCCACATATCATAGTGAAAGCCAAGATCTGAATCCATGCAGTCTCATTCCCGTGTCCATACTCCAAACTGCCACACCGACCTGTCTGTGAAATATGGCCTTACCGCATAGACTACGGCCTGCTGCCAGAGAGGCTAGACTGGGGGCCAGGAGTCTGAGGCTCTCTTCCCAGCGTGGTCCCTATTTACTCCCATGATCTTGGAGAAGTCATTCAGTTATCATTTCTGGTCTTCACTGTGTTCATCTATAAAATGAAATTATGGTATTAGGTGATGTCTAAGCTGTCTTCTGGTTCTAATACTTTATGGATTAGGAAAATGATGTGATTCAAATACAGAGTAAATGAAATGGTTGTTTCTGAAGGGGGTGTGTGTGCATACACACGTGTGTTCCCACTCAGATGTAAAAAATGAGGCATCTGCTTTGGACTCAGGCAGGTCTGTGTTCAGATCCTAACTCTCCTGTATGACTTGGCTGATTGCTTTATCTCTGTGAACTTTAGTTTCTTCCCTTCTCTGATGGAGGCGATGATATAATGTGTCCGGAGTGTCAAGCGTCATGTCTGAGCATCACTGGCATTTCTCCTGTTTGTCCCCATGTAGCTGGTGTGAGAGGTGGGTAGAAGAAGCCCCCCTCCCCCCCTCTTAGGGAGCTGGGTCCAGAGAAGAGGCTGGTTCAGATACCAATGTCCTTCATACTCCATGGGTCAAGTAGTAATTGAGAGGATGCTGGCTCAGCAATTGAATAGTGTCGCCCCCCCCCAAAAAAAAATCCCGTCTCCCTAGAATCCCAGAATGTCACCTGATTTGTAAATAGGGTTTTGTAGATGTAATCATGTTAAACGGTATGGCCATGTTGGATTAGGGCGGGGCCTAATTTGGACATGGACACGGGAAGGAGAACGCATTGAACACAGAAGACACACAGGGAGGACACCAAGTGATGACAGAAGCAGAGATTGTAGTGTCTGCAAGCCGAGGAATGCCAGGGATTGCTGGAAACCACCAGAAGCTGTAAAGAGGCAGGGAGAGATCTTCCCCAGGAACCTGCAGAGAGAACATGGTTCTGCCAGCGCCTTGGTTAAGACTTCTAGACAGAACTGTGAAAGAATACATTTCCATTGTTTAACGCCACCCAGTCTGTGGTACTTCTCTTGTGGCAGCCCTGGGAAACCAATGCAGCAAGAAAGGCATCTGGTTCCAAACTGTCACAATCAGGGCTACACAAGAGGGAGACAGACAGGTACTGACTAAGGGGGAAAGAAAACACAATGAGCCCATAAGGGGTGTTTGGAAGCCATGTATTGCCACCAAGATTCCTCTGCCCAGAGTAAGTAAAGCTCTTTTTACTCTTAGGATCCAGGTCAGAGCAGATGTCACAGAAGTGACAAAACAAAAAATATGACCAAAAAATGAGATTTTTAAGTAGGCCAGTGTTTTTAAAAATATGGGTTTCAATATGGTTTGAAAAACCAGCATACTCTGTGAATTGTGCACGACTATTGAATCACAGATCTGTACCTCTGAAGCAAATAATATATGTTAAAAAAAAAAGAAGAAGAAGAAGATAGCAGGAGGGGAAGAATGAAGGGGGGAAATCGGAGGGGGAGACGAACCATGAGAGACGATGGACTCTGAAAAACAAACTGAGGCTTCTAGAGGGGAGGGGCATGGGGGGATGGGTTAGCCTGGTGATGGGTATTGAGGAGGGCACATTCTGCATGGAGCACTGGGTGTTATACGCAAACAATGAATCATGGAACACTACATCAAAAACCAATTAGGTAATGTATGGTGATTAACATAACATAATTAAAAAAAACCCCAGCATACTCTAGACTCCGATGATTATCCACGGAGATTCTGAAGTGTAGTCCACACAGTGACTATCAGGAGAAGTGCCACTATGTGCTTTACCAGTTGATTTGAGTGTTTTTTGAAGTCGCATACATGCTTCCAGAAGTTGAAGAAGGGTCAGTATGTCTGAAACACTAACTTGGCTATAGAATAGATTGGAAAGTACAGAGTTCCTTAGAATTAGATTATCATTTAATAATTGGTAATTTGGGAATAAATCTTGGAATTGTAACAAGAAAAGTAAGCCTTAGTTACCTAAGAGGCAAGAACTTTGCAGAAAACAACATGATAATAAGACAAAGCCGTCAAGCAGGCTTAGGCTCTGTGGACTCCGTTTGTTCCAGAAAAGCTCATAGTGAAGACAGCTCGTGAATTCTGTCATCAGGCAGTGAGGCCCGTATCACATGTCACTTTGCTTTGTTTTTAACATGTGGCTCAAGCTATACCAGACCTGCTGCTGTGTGGGAGATGTACTTTCTGACAAAATAAGGCATTTTCCTGGCATCAGGCCCCTTTGGAATTTTTACTGGTGTGCATAAATCCAGCGAGTTTTGCATTTCCCACACATATCCAATGTAGTCACGCTTGGCTTTCTGGATTTGTGGTGGTCTCGAAGCCTGTCACTGCCAACACGGTCCGTTCCTTATCACCACTGGGAGTTACTGTGAAGAAATGAAACCAGGCGTTCATTCATCCCTTATTGAGAAATTGTCTCCCATCAACCATGCCTGTTCGGAGAAAGAAACAGAGGAGGAAACATAAACCAGTTTTGGAAGGACTGAAAATGGTTTGTAGGATGGAAATGGAAGTGTTTCTAGCAGGCTGTCTCCTTCTTCTCTTTCTTTTCATCCCTCATAAGAAAGCCCACCGTGAAAGTTCGTTTATATTATTTTGTGTTCAAAGAGACGACGATGATGATGACCGGGATGACATTAATATTAATGTTCCCTCTTGGTTGGCTGTTATTGGCTGAATCGAAGCACTATAAATAAACTGATCCTAGGATGTGAGTCTGGACTCTTCTGAGCTACGTTTTGAAGCCCCGTTGGGCTGCCCTTTTAACTCCTGGTTCTTCCCTCCTGAATGTATTTCACTCTTGGTTACAGGAGCCATCAGTGAAACCACATGGGCCTCTAGGCACAAATTTATCATCTCTGATGGAAAAATAACGAAAAGAACTTCTCCAGGAGTAAGAGCACATGGTATGTTATCTTTGCCTAGAGGGTAGAACGTGATCATCCGTATTGAGAGGGCTGAGAGAAGGCAGAATGTGCAAAGCAATAGAAAAATATCCTCAGTGTTTTTTACATGTGACCCTGGGGAGTGGCTCACTCAGTTCATTCATTCAACTCATTGCTGGTTGACCATGAGTCAGATACGAGAGTAAGGACCAGAGGTGCAGGCTCAGCAAAGACACAGGCCCTGTTTTCTGGGAGCTCGTAGTCTCAAGTCAGGAGATTGGCAAGTCATCCCCAATTTTATCTGGTACCATGTTCCGCTTTGCTGAGTACATTCCAGCCAGCCTGGTTTTCTTTTCCTTCCTCTAACACACCAGGCTGGATCAGCCTCCTGGTGGCTGCTTTCTTCACACCCTCTGCATCTCATTTTATGCGCTGTGTCTTCCACAGGCCTTCCTGCCACTCAGTCCAAAGCCACCACCTGGCCGCCATGATTCTCAGTCCCCTCTGCCTGCTTGCTTTCTTTTGTGGCACTTCTTGTATGAAATCACCTCGTTCATGTATTCATTCATTTGTTTTCTTGTGTATCTCCTCATCACTAGAATGTACACTTTATGAAAAAGCGGATCTTACTTGTCTTGTTTACGATTGTATCCTTAGAACTACATTTTTGTTGAATGAATGGATGGACAATTATACTACATAATAATCCATTCTATAATGGGGCTTTAATCAAGTGCTCTAGGAAAGGGAGGAAGCGAGTGACAACTTCCCTGACTGAGCAGGTTGGGGGATATCTCCACACGAGCTGGACCCGGCAGGCGGGGGAGGCCTGTCGGCAGGTACTGTTTATGCTTGGGGAGATGAAGCTCTTCCTTCACCATCCTGACCCTCCCCAGCTTGACCCAGTTGCTCCTGGCTTGCGGTGAATAGCCCAGATCATTCACTGTGAGAGTCGACTCTAATACCTGACAGGGATAAGCCCTTCATTGTGACCCCTGCCCTCTTTGGATATATGTATCAGGGAAGTGAAGAACTCATGTTTCCTGAAAACTTCTCTTTCATGCAGTGAAAAGTTGCTAAAAGCTGTCTTTCCAATAAAGAGAACTTGGAATTAATGTAATGGATAAAAGGAGCTTATGAAACAGAAGTAGGCATTCTTGACAAAATAAAAATAGAAGCTTAAAAGACGCATCATTTTGGGAAAGTTAAAAAAGATTTTTTTCCCCTACTGTAAGAAAATATGTGTGGATGAGGCATGTGTTCTAAACTATAGAATAAAATTTGCATTTTACTTCAGGGTACCGCAACCATGGCAATCCAGAGTTTTGTCAGTGCCGATAGACGTACTTGCAATATATACATCCATTAACGAGATTATCACTTGAAGAGACAATTGTATCTTTACCGAAAAGGTTTTTTGAGGATAAAATTTATTGATACTTAATGAAGCATGAAGCTTCTAAATGAACCATGAAAGCAATAGCTGAGCTAATTAAGTGCACATAAAGGCTCCCAGAATACATATGTGATGTGGGCTATGTGCTTACCCCTTGTGCCTGGTTACACTGATGTCCTGGGTAGCACGCTCCTCACATACACTTTGTGGGGGCAACAGTAAATCCTCCTGTAATGCATGCAGTAAAGAAGGAAATGACCATTTAGATTTCCTGCAAACACGGATGGGATGTTTAAGTCAAGCGTTGCAGGGTTTATAGGTTATAATTTAGCAGAGTTAAGACTAGTAATAACAACATATTATTTCCACACACTTGATTTAAGCCTCTGTCTATGCTGTTTCATTGAATGATAAATCGTTCCCTGGTTCTAAAAATATGCATCTCCTTCCCTCCCTTTTCCCCTCCACAGAGAGAGCAAGGATGCTAAATAATATGAGTTGAACATTTCCTTGTGCAACAGGGATGCTTGTAGGCCTTTTCAACTGCATGTGAAGACATGCTCGGTTGAGGGCTCGGAGAATTTACAAAAGAAGGCAAAACCACTCCTGCTTTGGAGGACATTACAGGTCGCACCAGTTGGGGAGAGGGACGACCTACCTGAATGACGAACAATGCTCGTAGCATTGACCTTTATCAATGACCAGCTTCCTCTTAGCCACTGGCTCTCTCCTCAGCCACAGGCGCCTCCTCTCTGCCCCGTTATCACAGAACTTAGCTCTTAATGAGTAGTTTCTAATTTCATTCCTGAAAATGACATTCTTATGCTAACAAAGGAGCCTGACAAACCATTAAGACGCATAGTAACAGTATGTACTAATGGTGTGAGGGCAGTCCTTCTCCAACTCCAGGCCGTATCAGCACTTCCCGGAGGGCCTGTGAAGGTGCCAGTGGGTGGGCCCCACCCCCAGAGTTTCTGATCCCATAGGTCTGGGGTGTGGCCCAGGGACTTGGCATTTCTTTTCTTTTTTTTTTTTTTTAAAGATTTTATTTATTTATTTGACAGAGACAGAGATAGTGAGAGCAGGAACACAAGCAGCGGGAGGGGGAGAGGGAGAAGCAGGCTTCCCCCCGAGGAGGGAGCCCGATGTGGGACTCGATCCCAGGACCCTGGGATCATGACCTGAGCCGAAGGCAGACGCTTAACAACTGAGCCACCCAGGTGCCCTGGACTTGGCATTTCTAACAGGTGATGCTGATGCTCTTGGTTCAGACAGCACAGTTGGGAGAACCATTGCAGACGAGATGCAGGCCAGGGTGGGGAAAGGCATGTCAGGGACATCCTTCTGAGACGTCACAACCAGGGAGGGATGTGGTTTGCCTCAGGTACCCTCTAGATTCCCGTCCTGTACCCCTTTCTTCGTTAAAAAAAAATTCTATTCTCTCTCTAAGATATCCAGGGCCCCTCTTACGCGGTAAGGCCTCGAAATTTCACTCACACATAGGTGTGACCCTTGGCAACTTAAAGAGCTACCCTTACCAGGGACATGTGCATTTTAATGGGGCAAAACCAAAGGAATTAAGCTCTGGGGAAGGTATTTTTGATATCTGCCAGTGGGTTTTAAGGGAGATAAAATTCAGGTTTGAACTCACACCATTCAGGTGGACTACTCCATGTGTCCACAAAGCACCCTTCTGCCCCTGTACCCTCTTGAATGAGACCACCTTTGCTTGCACATCCTCTAATCCCTTATGCAGCAGACACCTGGCCAATGTACACCGAACGGATGGAGGGATGGATGTGTAACAGGGACAAAAATAATTAATTGCCTGTGTGAATAAGTGCTTCTCTCTCCTCTCGCTCTGGAAGGAAAATGTAGTGTTGCTTGAAAATAAAGAAATCGACCCTGAGATAGTGACCTGAGCTGAAACCAAGAGTCGGACCCTTAGCCATCTGAGCCATCCAGGCTCCCCAAGAAGAACCTTATTTTTGTGGGAACCCTGGGGAGAGTTTGTTCTGTTCTGGGGGAGAGTACAAGAGTGAAGGAAGGCTTTGGGCTGCGGAAGGGTGTAAGAGTTGTCAGTGAAGGGGGATGACAGAGAGCTATGGCAGCAAAGGTGATGTTTATATGCATTGCCTGAGTTTGTTTCTTTGAGGGGACTACTCCATCTGAAACTGGAGTGAGGGGTCCTGGGACTTATTTGGGTTGTGAGTGATTCAATGTGTCAGCCAATACCAAATAATATATTGTAAATGTGAATCATAAGGATAAATGAATAGCTGTAGCACATGGTGGGGAGATGCTTAGTTGGTTGTATGATCTTGAACCGTGTTTCTCAAAGTAGGGGTCCCCAGACCAGCAGCAGCAGCATCACCTGGGAAGTTGCTAGCACAGCAGATTCTCAGCCTTTTCCCCAGGACTGCGGACCTAGAAACTCTGGGGTGGGGCCAGTATTCTGTGATTGCACGGGCCCTCCAGGGGATTCTGATCATGCGCTCAAGTTGGGGAACCAGGGGCCTGGGGAGTTGCTGTCCTTACGGTCCCTGCAGTTGCGGGGACAGTGGAGGCTGTGTCTGACCGGGACCCTCTGAAGGTCAGGAGGGTTTGGCTAAAGGATAGCAGGGACCATTGTTTTCCTATGTGTGACTACAGATTTTTCCTAAATATTTCATCATTTGAAAGGCCTCCGAAGAGAAACAGAAACATTTTGAGCTTGGCAAGGAAAATAAATGGGCTGAATATTAAAAGGGGAAAGAGAAAAATTTCTCAAGCAGTCATACTGAACAAAGCATGAAAATCTACACCATGGCCGGGTCACGAGCCTGGGAAAGTGACGTGGTTGGGGACGAAATGGACTGTGTAGTGGGTCAGCTGCTCCAGGTGTAATCACCCCTGATGTCACAGGACGCACAGTCATGTTTTTTCTGCTTTGGCTTTCTAGTCTTTCAGCAGTAACTTCGTAACATGGTGACCTTTCCAGTTTTTTACCCACCAGTACCGGTATTTTTTTCTTTTCTGAGTATAAAAATATGTTTATGTAGAAAATATTTAAATACTGAAAAAAAAAAAACCCCGAAGAATACAATAAAATTACCTTCTAGTATTCCCCAGACACAGAGCTGTCCATTGTTAATATTTTAGGAGATAAACATGTGTGACTGTTTTGTAATAGATAATAGCGATGATTAATATCTAAAGTGTTATGTTCTCTTTCTCCACATTGTTGTGAACATTCCCTCATGTGATTCAGGATTCTTTGAAGATCTGACTTTTAAGTACAGCAGACATTTTTTTAATGTGTGTGGGAAGTGTACTCTATTTAATCAAGTTTGCTTTCTTTTTTTGTGAAAACTGTATTATCACAATTATCTTTACAATGTTGGTAGATGATTGGGTCACATGAACATTTTAAATACTCTTGATTGTATTACCAAGTTGCTTCCCAAATGGGTTAGATCACACTTTATACTCCACTCTATCTAGGAGCAGAATTGAGAGGGTCCACTTTATGTCTTGTCTACTGGGTTCTTCTTTTGTGAACTGTTTATGACCTTTGCCTTTTCCCCCCATTGGAATGTTTGTCTTTATTATTGATTTGTAAGGCATCTTTATATGGTAAACCCTT